TAATCTTAATGTTTCTAAGATTAACCAAAGTCTTATGGGTTTCTAGCGACATGGGTAAATAAATGATCATTTTCATTTTTGGGTGAACCGTTCAGTCTAGTTATTAAATATTATATATATATATATATTTCGAATGAAATCCTTTGTCTGCACAGGTATAAATGTTTACACCTTAAATCTGCTATTTCAGGTTGGTAATGCAGCAAAAAACTCTCAGGTGTGTGACATTCTGTTGGAGAAACACAACATCTATGTGCAGGCCATAAATTACCCAACAGTGCCTCGTGGAGAAGAGCTGTTGCGGTTGGCTCCTTCTCCTTTCCACAATCCCATTATGATGAACTATTTTGTAGGTGAGTGGTCATGCAATATGGTCAACTCTATTTCTTTTCACTTTAAAGGTGAAGAGTTTCATTTCTGAACCTCTAGTGCCACTAAACAGAACAGCAGTTTCATTTTCTGCAACACTCGGACATCTGCCATTGTCATAGGGATGTATCCAGATTTGAGAAAATGAAACTGGTTACATTTTAAACTGGTAATGATTTGAGTCTGAATTTTTAATAATATTTTGTGTTGGACAGAGAAACTGTTGGAAGTCTGGCAGGAGGTTGGACTGCCGCTGAATGGACCAGCTATGGCATCCTGCACCTTCTGTGATCGGCCTCTTTATTTTGACCTCATGAGCGAGTGGGAGAAGTCCTACTTTGGGAATATGGAGCCGAGATACATCACTGTGGCTGCACAGTGAGTCAGTATCAGCAGACCAAGATGAAGATCTGTTTTGTCAGCACTGAATATTTAAAGCACTGTTTGTGGCAATATGTGATACAATAGTGTTTCTGTATTGTTTGCTGTGACTGTTAATGATAAAAAAGAGAATTTGTTTTCACATATTCGTATAAATGTACCACTAAATTTAGTTATTGAGATTTTTGCTAAATTATACATTAATTGTGTGTCCCCTCTGCATGACGACAAACCTGCACATGGGCACTTTTTGGTAGTTTTCTGTTATTGGTATTATTGTATGTATATGTATGCATGCAAGAGTATATTTAATAACAGCTTACACTGAAACTATGCCACATGCTGTCTTCCTGTTTTGGACCATTTGCACCCAAATTGATGAATGTAAAAATGCAATAAATATTGTCAGTTACAACAAAATGCAGCTGATAACTCATTATAACCACTTGGTTACAAATAACAACAAAAGCAGAGGTTATAATTTGTACTCTGAATCTGATATATTTTAATTTAGGGGGAAATTGTAATGCAAAACACCAACAAAACTATAGTCAAATGTG